AGGTCCCTTCTGACCCTACAAACTATGAAACTATGAAACAAGCTAATTTACCAGCTGTGGTTGTTATTACAGTATTATGAGAGTTAAAGTCACTGATCACAAGGCTGTACTTCCCTGTGCTACTGTCAGGTAGATTATTCCACTGGAAAGTACTAGATAGTGGTTTGTATATAGAAGTTATAATGATGTTCTTAAGGCTAAGTGTGATCATTTCAATGTTATTCTTGCTTGTGCTGGTATGCACTTGCTCATTTCACAGGTCAGGTCTATCAAAACTGCACTACCATACTGCTTATGTCTTATTTCAGCAATGAGTGTTTTATTTTTTATGGTTGGATAAGAGTTATTAGGTCCTTTGTGCATCTCCTGCATGCATACAATATCATACTCCTGTGATATTACTGCCAGGATATTAGTTTAGCCTGCGAGTATCCTTCCATGTTAATTGAAAGGATTGACAGTGCCAGGTCTAATAAGAGCCTGTGTTCATGATGCTGTCCTCTTGTCCCTTGGATAAACATGGTTGTTGAAATTCAGTTGGTGTTTGGAGTGGTTGATAGATTTGGCCTTCTAGGAGATAACTTTCCAGGAGTTGCCCAGGACACACCATGGGGAGGTATCTTATCACGCACCCCACTAAGTGTACTTGAGGTGACCTCTTACTTTTACCTTAGGGTGTGTGTAGATGAAACGGGGGCCCTAAATTGAAGTGGTGGGTTTTAAAAAACTCTGCTTCAACTTAGGGCTGATTAAACCCCTGTGTCATGCACACACCGCACTGACTTACCTGTCTCTCTAGCGGGGAGGGGAGGGGTGGGGAGGGCAAGCTGCCAGTGGGTGGAGTGGTCCCTGGGTTGTGGGGGGGTGCTGGTGCTTCTCTCCACAGCGACAGCACCCCCCACCCACTCCTCAGGTGGCACCTGCCCACAGGCATCCAGCTCAGGTGGTCCCAGAGAGGACCACAGCTGCAGAGGGAAGCACCAGGCCCCCACACAGCTCAGGGTGGCAGAAAGGCTGGGAGTGGGTAGGTGGGGAGATCAGGCTCTCCACTTTTCTTGGGCAAAGCCTGCCTACCCGGGCTGCTGCCGCGCTGCCTGCAGTGCTTCCTGCAGAGCCACAGAGCTGCACAGAGCCAGGTGCTTTGCTCTGTGGCTATAGAGACACAAAGCAGTTTTAGTTTGCTGTGCCCCAAGTCATTTAAAGCACATTACACCACTAAATTTCCTACAGCGGCTGAAATTAATGTGCAATACACCACCAAGGCATGCAAACACCAACACCATTAAAGCAGTGCAAAAGCATTTAGCCCACTTTAAAGTGTCGTGCGCACACACCTTGCATTTCATCTACACACAGCCCTAGTTT